AGAAGATCACTTGAGTCCAGGAATTCATATTCATCATTTCTGGGAAACAACCCAAAGGGTCATGTAGTTAGTTAAGGGAGAGGATTATAAAAATCACATAGGGGTTCATGGAGCCAGTTACAGAGACAGGAATGTTCCCAGGCTTTGTCCCCTCTCGAGAGGCATGCCACCCTGCTAGACACCTGCTAGGGTGCGTTGTTGCAATTATTAGTTCTGTGTCTATCTCTTTGGTCCCCTAGCTAAGTGACTCAGCATTAAAAAGAGACAGCAAATGCGATGCGGTCACTTCTGGTCCACTGGGAGATGCTTTGGAAGGTCTTAACCTGTAAAAAACCAGCTTCCCCAGGGAAAGGGCTGAGAAGTTGGCTGTGACTGCCTACCTTGAAGAAGGTAGGAGGGTTCCAAAAAGGAAAGCTGAGCCCTGTGTGGGGCCAGACCACCTGGGACAGCCAACAGGCTGTGCTCCCACATGCACAGTGTGCAGAAGGAACAGGAAAGTGGCCTGTGCAGTGAGGACAATGGCCAGAACACAGAGGAAGACAACTGCAGCAGGAACCTGGGAGGGGAGAGGCTGAGCTGCAGCTCGGGACTGAAGACCCTGGCCAGGACCAGGCCAGAGCCTCTGTGCCTAACCTGCTTTGTCTTTTCCTGGCCCCCTGGGACAAGTACCAGGTCTCAGGTGAGGCTTATGACAATACAATGGAGTGTCTGCAGTGAGCACGCCAGAGCCTCGGCTGCCCCTCATACCATCCCCCACCCCCCGGGCCGTTGGGTTTTGCCTGTTTTCCCCGTGCAGCGATGTGTGTCAACACGTACGTAGTGATCGGGTGGCTTGGCTTTAAATTCTGGCTCTGTTAGTTACTAGCCTTGAGACCTTGGGCAAATTACTGAACCTCTTTGTATCTCGGTTCTGTCATAGGAAATGGGATAATAATAGTACCTGCCTAACAAAGTTATTGTCAGGATTACATGAGTTAATGAATGCAAATGTTGAGGCCAAGGGAAAACTTCTCCTTCTGAAGGTTCACTGAAAAATCAACCGACAAAAAGCAGATTAATTGGAGAAAAGTCATATAAAATGTATTAACGTGTACATGGGAAACCTCACAGAGTGACACCCAGCCCCAATGGGGTGCAGAAGTGCACACAGCATCTTGAGGCTACAGAAAGAATGGGGCACTTGGATGGGGGCAAACTCGGCTATGAGAGTAGGGAAGATGAGGCCTGGCTAGCAAAGGTGGTCTTGTTACACAGACGAACCTCACAGTAGCAGCCCTCAGAGAGGGTAAACGGTAAGTATTCCTTTCATACCTTTAAAGTTTTCCACTCTCAGTTACTCTTTCCTAGACCCAGACAAGGCAGGGCCTGGCTGCGTCCGCGCAGATTTTCTGCAGATGCAAATCTCCCCACAAAGACAGCCTTGCAGGGCTGCTGCTGCTGGCTCTCTAGCGGCCATCTCAAACTATGTCAAAGAAATATATTTTGAGGTAAATTATTTTAATTTCCTTCAGTCCTCTCGTTTTCACACATTAAAAGCCAAGTTGACAGCTTTGGAGAGATTGGGTTAGAGGTCATCAGACATAAGCAAAAGAGTGGGGAGAAAACAAACTGGGATAAGCAGAAAAGAGCAAATTTAAACATATTGTCCCATATCTTCTGCAGTCAGTCTCTTACTCCTGGGAATAGATCAGTTCCGTTAGGCAGCCGTGTCCCGTTCCGGGAGGTGGCCTTGCAGATGGGCTAGGCCTCTGTATATGATGCAGGAAGACAGATCTTTAATAAGAGGCATTTCTGTGGAAACAGAAGAAAAACTAAGGGTAATGTCTAGAGCAGTCCATAGACTAGCTTTTTTTTTTAAAGTCCCTGAAACATCCTCAGATTCAGCGCCAATCTTACAGATGTTTCTGGATTGGAGTTTGATCAGGTGTTTGAGTGAACTTTCTGGGTAATTTATACATTGGTAGGCACGAAGGCTGTTTGTATGTAAGTTGCTGTGATTTCTCCCAAAGTTCACTTAAGTTGTCTAGCTTCAGTTTAGAGGGTATTAAGCAAAGCACAGTTTTCATTTCTAGCGATTCCAAATCAGAAATAGGGAAGAAAAAAATTGAAAACATTAGGTCGGAGACTTATATCCAGAAAAGTGTTCAGAAGTCAGTCCAAATTGTGAGCCAACAACAAAAACTCAAAAACAATGGGTGAGGCTAGAAGCTAATAACAGACGTACTCTAGTTTTCTTTTGAAATATAATTTTCTCTCTCTCCAGTCCCCCATTTCTACTAATGACAAAGTGGGACCAATTTGTCTGAAAAATAAGTTTTAGTCTTATTATGCTTGGCCTGATTATTTGCATGAAGTGCAGCAGGAATAGTGATTGCCCTATAGACTCTTTTTTAATTCACTTTGCTGGAACTTTTTATTAAGAATCTCAGGTTAGACTTTTAAAAGCCTCAAAGCTATGAAGCCAAGCCAAAGATTTGACACCAGACCTGTATGAATTATATAAATTCTTCTTTTCTGGAGGTCCCCAAATAACTTGAGTTTCTTGACCCTGTCAGAAAGTGACATTCTTTACTTACTACAAGTCAGAAGCCCTGTAATAATCACTTAGACATGGTACCAGTCCAGTCTTTTCGAGGGGCTTTTTATCAGCTCTGTGAGGTCCACCTCAATTCCTGAAGGCATTCTGGTCATATCTGAAAATATTTCATTCCAGCCAAAGCCTCGGTAAAGGACCAGTGTCTCCAATTGTGTCCTGTTACAACAGAAAAGATATTCTTATTGAACGTATACAAATAACTATACTGCCATAAATTAGCAATGCACACAAATAGTTTCCAGATTCTGGAAGAGTCAGGTAGAGAAAAAGATAAATGCTTCCAATTTTGCTCACAAAAGTATACTTGACCCAATTGTTGTCAGCTATAAATAGCTCAAAAGAAAAAGAAAGTTTTATTGACTCTGGAAGACAAAACATAAAAAGAATCAGCAATGGTTCAAACAAAAAGTTATTGTAGTCCTCTATCGGTTCCGTCCCATGTAATTAACTCTTGTTCTGATTGATGCTGGATTAGCAACACTCTTGAACCCATCAGCTTTTGATTAGAGTCTTGGAAGTTTTCACCTCGTCCAAGGGTGTGATCTCCAAAGTTACCAGAAACCTGTATTCAACAGCACTTGTCAGAGTCCTTTCCATAACGTTCCTTAAAAAAGAAGCAAATTTTTGGACTATACCTGATTATAAATCACTTTTTAAGAAGAATCAAAATAAAATGATAATTGTGAATGACAAAAGTCTTAGAATAGTCATGGTTAAAGACAACATTGACAAAGAAATTTAGTTATTTCTGTGGCATAAAACAATTTAATATAATAGATATAATTATCATTGATAACATATACTAAGACATATCAGGAATTGTGCACAATTTTGGAACATATATTAATAACACATTTATACAAATATAACCCAAAGAAATTTAAATACCATTTAATATTTGACAATGCTTTCCATATAGTTTTAGCATACCAAATAAGCCTGATATGTCTCTCTTGGAATTCCACGGAACTTAATATCCAAAAAGTTAGTTTGAGGACAGAAAGACTAAATCTGGAATTTGAAATTTTGATTTTGTAACATTTTTCAAATATCAAAGGTTTAAAACACTTGCCCAAAATAGGATCACATGTTGCTGTAAAATAATAGTCATTGATTTAGCCAAAGTGATAATACAAAGACTTCTAAAAGCAAAAACATTTACTCTTTGAAAGAGAGGAGACTCAGTTTCCCAAACAATCATGAGACCTAATAAAGAGAAACTAAAGCTGTCTCTCCCACTTGCCTTCTTTTTTTTTCTGCAATTTACTCAAAAGGTAAACAAAAATATTTTACTATCTCTTATTAATACTACATGAAAATCTTGTTCAAAAGTGAAAGCTAAATTCTACCTTAGTATTAGTGAATTATTAATGCAAAAGCTAATTTTAATAAAATCTTACAAACAAATCTCTCCAATCTCAATTTTGACCACAACATAAGATTTCCATAAACATTTTATAACTTCTTACAATTTTTCTCATTTTCTTTCTTTTCCCAACTTCCTGTATCCATTAGTTTTACCTATTTTTTCATTTCTTTAATTTAAAACAACTTTTAAAAACCTCTAAACTAGGCAAAATTACTTTCCTTTTTAACAAAAACCACATTCTAATGCCTTTTTATAATCTTTCTTACCAAAAACACATTTACTTCTCTTACGCATTTTCCATATAGAATTTTTTAATATCTAACAATTTTAGTTACATATATTAATTACAGTGTTAACTCTTAGTAACCTTTATTTTTAGTGAAAAACCCAGGAAGGAAGCAATTTTAATTATGTACCAGGTCAGAGCCCAGGACACAGGACAGTGCTGTGAAGCCAACAGGACACAGGACAGTGCTATGAAGCCAACGCCTGGCGGATCTAACCCCTCCCAGCACAGCCAAGAGGCACAGCTGGGCTGGGAGGACAGGGCCTGTGTACTGTCCCCAGGCCTCACTATGGTCACTTGTCTAGACCTCAGAATCTAAAGGCTCAAATCCAAAGATATAAATTCACAGACAAATTAAGCAAGTATCAAAAATATCACAGAAGCAACAGTTTTAAGACCTTAAAACATCTATCAGAGACAGTATAAACCGGTTTAAACCGTAGGCCAAGAAAAAATGTCTAAATTAAATTCTGAAGACGTTTCTCTTTTATTTTACCAACAATTTTAAAAGTATCTTTATTTACCAAAGATCACTAAAATCACATGAACTAGGAAAGCATTTGAGCTTATTTAATTCGTTTACGAGTACTCATATATTTGAAAGTCAATTTGATACCACCTAGACAATGTATAAACACGGACATGTATACATGTATACACAAAAATACAGATGGACACAAATAAAGACTTTAGAGTTTGGATTTTTAAAATTGTAGACCTGAGACTGGTAAAACTCACTAGTTTAAAAGGGCAGTTAGGTTTAAGTTATTGTGCCTTTATGAATGGAACATCTTAAAGACCCACATGGCCCAAGCACTCACTGAGTTTTAGAGAAAACAGGGTAGCAAATTTACATCTCAAAGTGCAGAGAGAATTTAACCTTTTTAAGAAGGAGTTTGGGTGTGTTAATTAGAGGAAGATTAAAAATGGGTGCCAAGGTAACACAAAATCGTAGGAATTTACCATAGGTTTTTATAAGGAGACCAATTTCACTTAGCCAGGTAGCTTTTAATTTAGTGTCTGTTTTTCAGTTAGACCACTGAGCTCAGTGCAGAGCTCATTAAGAAGCAGGGCCAACAAAGTATTTGCAGGTTTTAGGGCCTAATACTTTAAATATGTGAAAAGCAGGAACAATTGGAAGGCAGAGCATCTAGATCTTTAAAACTCAAGGATTTCACTTTTACAATGAATCTCAGGTCCCCAAAAAGAGGGAGATGTCATGGGACCAGGCCACATAACGCTTTCACAGTGCACTTCACTACAAAGACGTTTCCCTAAGTGTTTGAACTCTGCCTTTCTTGTTGAAGCACACAAAGGAATGAGCAGCCCCCTTAGTGAGAGCCGCTTACTGTAAAGGACCGTGGCTGGCCACCTCCAAAACTGCAGCTCTCCCCGGTGGGTGACTCGCCAGCGTCACACACACACAGGGTCAAGCATTTTTTCTCAGTACAAAGGAATCTCTGGCACCCCCAAAACCAAAGCGGTCCGGTGATGCAATGCAAAAGAGAACAGAGTTTTGGGCCTGAGAGGAACCTGTCTCTGACTCTGGAAACACCACAAGGAAAGCAGAAGACCCCAAAGAGGGATTGAGTGGCACCTGTTTCTGTATTCTTTAAGGTGTCTGAGTCCTTAGAAGTTCCCTCTAGATCCTTCCATGTGGTATGGAGGATGGCAACGAGGAGAGAGCAGCAGGGAGAATATTTGTCCCCTCCAATCTTGTGTTGAACTTTGACCCCCAGTGTCGGAGGTAGGGCTTGGTGGGAGGTGTCGGGGTAAGGGGGCGGATACCCCGTGAGCACCTTGGTGTCGTCCTCCAGGTCATGAGTGAGTCCTCCCTCTATTAGTTCCCAGGACAGCTAATTGTTAAAAGGAGCCAGGCTCCTCCTCCCCTCTGTCGTGCTCCCCTCTCACCATGTGATACACCGGCTGCCCTCTTGCCTTCCTCCACGAGTGGAAGCTTCCTGAGGCCCCACCAGGTGCAAGTGCTGGCGTCACGCCTCCCGTATAGCCTGCAGAACCTTGAGCCCTAGAAACCTCTTTTCTTTATAAAATACCCAGCCTCAGTGTCCCTTCATAGCAGTGCAAACAGACTAAGACAGGGTGGCAATCATTTTCTATTATTAGATAACTTACCCGACTTGGGGTTAATAATTAAGAGTTGGCAAGAAAGACAGATGTGATGTTACAAGCAGAAAGAGCACAGGGCCCTGCTCCCAGACCCCCCAGTAAGTCCCTGTGTGTGACCTGGTCAACCACGTGCTATCGCTGGGCCTTGGGTTTCTCGTGTGAAATATGAGGCCACTTAACCTAGAGAGGGCGTGAAGAATAACAGGAACCCCAGCTCACCACTCTGGGGGGGCCCACGGTGATCTCGCAGCAGCTCCGAGAGGCAGGCACTGAGTGGCTTCATTTGACAGGTGGGGACAAAGGCTCCCATGGGAGGGGGTGGACTGCCCTTGAGCTCGAGTCTCTTGGCCCCTGGGGTCTAGAAAAATTACCAAAGTGATTCTGGGAATGTGAGCCCCAGAGATGGGGAGCATCGTGGGACTGGGATCCCACCAAGAGGTGAGACGAGTAGGGGGTCTTCTCACCCCAATCTTAATGTTCTGAGCCTCTGCCCTCACATGGTTAACTCAGTGACAAGGCAGATCTAGGACTGGAAGGATCTTTGATGTACAAAGTCTTGTTGGGCGGGAGGGAGTGTGGGAGGAGGGAGGAAGTGGCACATTGGTGGCTTTGTGCAATTATTTTCCAAGACTAACAGGATGCTGTTTTCTTCAAACAAATCTGATGTCCTTGTGCCCTATTGCCCTTGATTTAGATCAGTTGCAAAGCCAGCTCCCCCCAAGGTGATCGGGCACGTGACTCTCGCAGTGTCCTTCAGTGTGCCTTTGATGTCCCGGGCCTCACTCCCGTGGGCACGTTTTCCTTGGCTCAGTCAACTATCAAGTAGTTTTCAAAGTAGTTTCTTTCCATAGTAGTTTCTTTCGAAAGTTGCCTTTTTGAAGTATTAATAATTTCTCAGTAGACGTTGCAGTATTGAGCTGCACCCACATTTGTGGAAAATATCGCTTCAGCCATCGGGCTCTCCTGAGGCCCAGAGCAGTCCAAGGCTTATCACGATCCGATCGCTCTGCCCATTTAAATGGCGGGGGGCAGCCGGTACTGGAGGCAGAGCGGAGGCAGAAGCAGGAACGCAAGGCCACGTTACTCCTTCGTTCCCTTGTCCATTCATCTAAAAGATGCATGACGAGCCCCAGATCTGTGCTGTGTTCTGTGGAGGTGAGTGAGACAGTTCCTGCCACCAGGGTGCTTGCAGAACAAAAGGGAAGGTGGACACAGATAAACGCTGTAAGGAGGGGGTGCAGACCACGGTGGGGGGCTTCGAAGGAGAGAGAGGCTGTTGGCCGACCCTGGAGAAGGCTCCCGAGATGGGGCTCTGAAGGACAAATAGGGTCTTCTCTGCTCTTTATCTCTGGAACTCGGTGGCTTATCCAGAGGTGCGCTGCACAGAAAACACTCGCTTCGTACTGTCTGCCAGTTCCCTTGGTGTGAACACTCCCAGCTAATAACGGCAAATTTCAAGTTACGCGTGTGAACCAATGTGACATCGCTGAACACAGAGCAGGGAAAAGATACCCGGTGGCCACTGCGATATAGTGTGTCCATCCTACAGAGACCGTGGATGTCAGTACCTTCAACAGAATAGATCACAGTAAAATAATTAGATAGTGATGAATTTGACAATTTATTATCTTTGTTTTACTATCATTTATTTTAAGTTGTTATAATTTAATTTTTAATATGGCTATATTTAATAACCAGCTCCCTAAATTCCTCGAAGTTTAACAATCAGCTCCTAGCACCAGCCGCCTCGCACACCTGTGGGTTTCTCCTTCACTCGCCCGACAGCCGTGGTGTGAGCCGCGGCCGTATCTCAGCAGGAATATCGCACCGCCCTCCGCCCGGTCTCCTCGCCTCCGAGTAATGGCTGCTCCTCCCGCTGCACGCACCTTCCAGGCCATTCTCCGGGCTGTAGTCGCAGCAATCTTTCCCAAATGCAGCGCGATCGCGTTACTCCCCCATTAAAACCTTTGCCGGTTCTCTGGTTTCCACCTTTCTCCACGATGTGGCCCCTCCTCCCCCGAGTCCCCATCCCCAGCTCCTGCTTTCCATGCGCACGGACACCAGGGGATGCCCCTGCCCAGCTGCCGGGAAGCCCCTTCTCTGGTCCTGCGTGACTGCTTAGCTCCTGCCTGTTCTTTCAGATCTCCGTGGAGATGCGACTTCCTCCGGGAGGTTTCCACTGACCCCCAAGACCAGAGGAGGTGCCTCCTTTGGTTCCCAAAGCGTCCTAAGCTCGAGCCCCGGAAGCGCCCCGCAACTGGACGGCCGCCTCCTGGTTCACAGCACCACGCCGCTGGTGGGCCGGATGCGGACTGCCCAGGTGCGACCCCTGGCTCTGCCGCTCACTGGCTCTGTGTCCTTGGAAAAGCCACGTCACACTTCTAGGCCTCTTCCTCCTCTGCGAAATGGGGATACCGCAGCCTCTCCCCCGCAGGGCTCCGGTGAGCCTGAGTGATCTCCTGCGCACCGAATGCTCAGAACAGGGTCTGCCCCGTGGTGAGTGCTGAGTGCCGACGGACACTGGCTTTGTCCCCGGTATTCGCCCCTTCTGACTGGTGCCCACGCTAGCGAGGGCCGTGTCTGTCTCCTTGCTGTCGTCTGTGCGGGTGTAGCGGGTGTGAGGCGCTCAGTGGGTGCTCGGTCACTGCTGGAATGGAGACTGCAAAGGATGAGGGGATGGGCGGAAGGCAGAGATGTGGGCTCTGCTGCTGGGCGCCGCAGGTGAGGAGGCGGGCGCGGCGCGGGTGTTCGGGAGGACAGGGCCAGAGCACTGGAGCTGCTGAGAGCCCAGGACCAGTGGCAGGGGACGCTGGGGGAGTGAGGTGCACAGTCATCATCTGGCTTTGACATTCTTTCCGGAACATGTACCTCCATTCCAACACCCCCCTATTGGTCAGCTCTGCTGCTACGACAAAACACCGCACACTGGGGGCCTTAAACAACAGAAATTTATTTCTCACGGTTCCGGAGGTTGGAAGTTCAAGATCAAGGTCTGGTAGGTCAGTTTCTAGTGGGAGCCCCCTTCTTACTGTGTCTTCCCAAGGCTGTTGCTCGGTGCGTGCGTGTGGCGAGGGACAGGGGGAAGCTCCCTGTTGTCTCTTCTTATAGAGACACAAATCCCATTGGAGCAGGGCCCCTCCCTACGACCTCATTTAACCTTAACTATTTCCTCCGAGGCCTATCTTCAAAGACAGCCACTGGGGGCCAGGGCTGCGGCACAGGAACCTGGGGGTGCACAAACATCGTGTCTGCAGCAAACCGCTTGTGTCCCTGGCTCTGCGTACAGGAGGAACAATTCTTCGTCACCCGCTCTCTGGCATGGAGAGGTGAAGGGGAAAACCATCTCGTCAGCAGGGCTGCTAATGACCGGCTAAGTGTGGCCACTGCTTCTGGAAGCCGAGAATTTGTTCTTTTAGCAAGGGACCTTATTAGCTGCTAACTGCTGAGATGAGAAATTGTGGTCGGGCCATTCAGGTGCCCGGCCTTTCAGCCGAAGTCCCCTCTCTGGGACCTGCCTCTGCCTCAGAATTTTCCAACCAGTTCAGTTTCTGTCAAGTAATTATTTACAAATTAGATTCCCAGGGAATACGTGATCAGAGAGCACAAGCGTTACACCTGTAAGTAAGAACGAACGATTGTTCAATAAAAGGCAAACCATTCTCCAAATAATCCATGTCATTAGAACTCAGAGCCCTGCCACAGTGCCTGCCCACTACTGAGAGCATTTGTCACTGCTTAGTCCTCCTGACTGCAGCTGAGAATTTACACGGTGAAAGTGATGGATAGATGCTCTCTGGTCTTAGGGTATCATTAAACAATACTTTTTTTTCCAAATCATTTTTTCAATTCAAAACACTTGGGCACTCAGTAAAAATGGGAATTATTGATTTGTGGTTTCATTAAAGCTGTAATAGCTGCTTATTTTTTAAAGCCTGTGCTATTTATGGGAATTGGTTAAGTCTGATGACAAAGCCTGCAAGATGTCTCCAAGTACTCAGTCCTTCTTCTCTACAACAGAACTTACATTATGCAGTGTCACTGGTGCCCAGCTTCTCTCCAGCTAGGTGTGGCCATCTGAGCTCTGGCCAAGGAAGTGCAAGATGAAATGTGTGTATGGGGGTGGGGTGGCAAGAGAGGGCTTCCAGAAAGGTCTGCTGAATAAAAGCAGAAGGGAAGGGAGTGGTGCCCTTTCCTCCTCTTCCTCTTTTGTGCTTTCTGAAATATGGATGTGATATCTACAACGCCCACAGCTATCTTGACCATGAGGTAACCTCGAGATTTAAGCAAGCCATGCGCTGGGATGGATGATAAGACAGGAGCGGCGTTGGTGTGGGTGACTGGGACCCTCCACGGCCTGCACAGTGAGAGCAAACTAGCCTTCATGTCCTCTGAGGCATGTCACTGGGGTGTCCTGGGATATGCACCCACACCTGACCCTAACTGATGCCATGTCCATGCCATGCTAGGGCCATGCTGGTACTAGCATCTGAAACCCGGAGTTAATTTACTAACAGCACAGTTGTTATTCTTTCATTGATTCAGCAAATACTCGCGTA